TGGAGTTTGTTTCGGATTGGGCGATTTATTCCTTGAACTGACGACTGAACGTGCTTGGGAGTTGCAATTTTTCATCGGTGTGAAACGAATGAAATCCTCAAACGTCTCATTAGACGGTACTGCTAAGTAGGGCCGAGTATTAAGCACTTCCGTATTAAATTCCGTATAAACATGGAAAGAGCCCAGCGCAAGAGGCAGCGAGTAAAACAAATTTACGGCGCTCGTTGCATCGCGTTTAACTTTATCTTGCAGCTCCGACCAAGTGGATATCTTCGTAAACTTCCGGTTTTATCACTTTCTCGACACCTAATTCAGATCTTAATTTCTGTTACCGAAACGAAGGCCTTGCGATGTTTACGGGCTCAAACGTAAATAGGAGCAGCATCCACGCTCAAATTGGCCGTGTTCGAGGAAAATTAAAAAATTCCTCACTGACTTGGCGACAAGAAATTACCTCTCCAGAGTTTTATTGCCTGATACTGACTTCCGACGAGATTTTACTGTCTGCACGCTGAAATTTCATTAAATTTATTATCAGAAACAACAGAAATTGAACAACAGTCATTTTGCATCTAACTCAAAGCTTTGAGTTGGAAACTTTTACTTAAGGCATGATTGATCAGTAACGAGGGAAAATTTGCCCAACACCAACTGTAGGTACCAGAACGAAACTTTGCCTAAAACATTTCATCTTCAAAGCGATAAAGTTTCCAACTCTGCAAAATTTAAAGCCGCTACAAACTCCGAAAATCCTCATTCCATAATTCTTCTAAATGCATTTTGCTTATTTCATTTTACTAAAAGCTCCTGCCTAGAGAGCAATAAATACAATCAAGTGCTAATGGATCAATCAATCTCGTAACAACCGTTCTTCCCTTTCAGGTTAATGGCATTTATTTATTCTTTACCTCTACGGGTTGGAAATTTATTACTTTTACTCTGGCACTTTTTCTTTTAATATCAATTCTGATGGAAACGATTTTTCCATTGTGTACACGAAAGGGGGCCGTCCGTCCCAATAATACATGATCGAACAACGAAACAGGCTGGCTCGATTTTCGGTTTGAAACAAAAACTGTTGCGATCTGAAAGCCAGAGAAAACGAGGGGAATTCTAATAGAAAGTTTATCGAGAAGAACGAGCCTTTGTTGAAAATCTTCAAGCTGTTTTTAGTATTTTAATTTGTTTATTTCTGTCTCAGTTTGCGCTGAATTTGCAGATACCTTTTTGCATTTATAATTCGTATAATCAGTGCCGCATTAAAAATGCGTGAAAGAAAATGAATGAACGAAAATCTTTCTGTCGTCTGGGAAAAGGAGGAAATTTTTGGGCCTAAACGACCGCGAAAATCAAAATTTCACATTTGTGTTTCATGAGCTCAAACGTTCGACGTAAGAAGCTCAGAAATATGCATTTATTTGTTTGGATCAAAAATGAGGTCTACGTCGTTGGCTAAAGTTCGTGAACGCTCAAAAAATGCTTAAAATATGCCAAAAATTTATATTATTTCAGATCTGAAACTTCTACCATGCTTTTTAATGAGTTCGATGCATTTCTTGCGTGGGTTTGTCTGGTCTTGACTAGCGCTATTTGAATAATAAATAAACCCGGCTGCATTTGTTGTAATCAGTCGCAAATTTGCAAACTAGCAACAAAAACAATACATTAAATTGGATTATTCTAATTAAATTATTTCAACTTGGTCCCATTGTTATGCTAATCAATCGTAATTATTCCGGAAAATACGCATTTGGGCTGAATCCGATATTGCGGTATAATTGGGGCTCTATATTTCAGTTATTGTTATTCATTTAGATGATTTGGCATTGCGAATTTAGGCGAATTTTAAAACATTCTGCATGGAATTGAATTTAAAATCTTAGTCTAAATCCTTCAAAGGCAAAGAATCAATTTCAACCAGGTGTTAAAGAGCAGACAAAGTGAGTTGGCTGCCATTTGGTTCAGTTATTTGGAGAAAAATTGCCAATTTTCCTCATTTCTCGGCTTGCAATCTAGCTAAGTAACAGCTAAAGAAAATTAAGGAAAATCATACCAAAGATGTCTTTCTGGTTTCACTAGTACTTGTTTAAAGTACAGGATTTTTGGTCTGTTCAAAACATTTTTTTGCTATCAGCAAATTTCAAGTAAATCCTGTCTTCATTTTCCACTAACTTTTCTGCATATTTTTTTGACTACCTGAAGAACATAAATAAATTTATTATTGATTGAGGCTCCATCTACTCCACCGAGCAGTTTTAATCGATTTCAAGTGAATATTTGTAGTGCACAATTTTAAAAAATCTTTGAAAGCAAACCGATTCGGAAAACCTGCCCTGTTGATGTTCCTCTGCGTGAAGCTGATCTGCTTTTAAACCCAGCAAATTGTTTAAAGTTTGCTGGGGCCCTCAGGGAGACTTCCGCACGTTTGCACTATTTTCTCCCATGGGACAGAGAACTCCGTCACTTAGTGCGATTGGATTTCTCTTCTGCAGCAACTGTTTTGCCCATGGGGGTTTATGGCCTATTTAGACAACAACACTGTGCTGATGTGAGCAGAAGGGTTGATTAATAACTCGGTTTCTCACAGGAAAAACATTCATATCGTTTCGTTGTCTGGTGCAGTTAAGATGGAAGGATGAGAAGCAAATTTCGTTAAGGAACAAGGGGTTTATAGGGTTGCAACTTGGAATTTTCAGCAGGAGTGAAAGTGTTTTGTTAGCTAGTTTGTGACAGTTTCGGCGTTTTTCACTCGTGGTGTTTTATTCTTTAAGCAACTGAATCTTATACTCGTGTGCAATGAATATGAATATTCTGGTTAAAAGTTAGCTGAATGTAAAGCTGGCAGATAAGCGTTTGCGCCATTTGTTGGAAGCCTATCAAAAGAGTGCAATTATTAGGCAATATTTTGGCAAATTCATTAATCTTCATGGTTTCAGTTGGCAACCGGACGCACCTGGAACCATTTTTTGCAAGTAGGAGTTGGTTAAAAATCAGTTTTCTGCACTTAGTTGATCATCTCTGGGCGATCAATAAACCGAAAAATGTATCGCCCAAATCCACTCGTTCAAACGCACAAAGGATCAATTAAAGTTTGGGCAATAAATTAGGCTCATCGAGCAGTGTGCTCAGGATTTAGTGTGCATTAAAGTAACTAAGATATTTTCGATTCTCGTCGTTCTTCTGTCGCTTTTATCGGTTTGACACTTGAAACCTACAGAAAACCCCTACAGGCTTACGTCTAGAGCGAAATATACGTTCAGAATTAATCACCTTGTAGAATATCGATATTTGAATATCGTCGGTGAAACGTGAACTGTAGCATCTCCAATATGCCCTTCGGTGACACTCGAATGCCTAAAAATAGCCCCTATGGAAACCCAGAGGAGAGAGAGCCATTGACTTGCAAATCCTTAACCTCCGAATTGTCCCGAGATCCTAATGCAACCCCAACATGGAACAGGAACTCGGCATAATGGGGTTCGTAAACACCGGTAATGGCCCAGGACATTTTATGCTTAAAATTCCATAGAAACAGGTGCAGCGTTCAAGATTGGCCCTTACGAGTGCTCTAAATTGAGTGCTAATTGAACTGTTTGCAACTGTTGCTTTGTAATTTATTTCTCGTCCATTGGGGGACCTTTGAAGTTGCTTTTTTCCATTGAAGTTACACGAACGAAAAGACGAACTTTGGTATCGACTTTCCAGCTCATGTTTCACCTCCATAGGGGACAATCATCCTCAGAGGCCATGCTGCAGTGTATAAAAGACTGCTGTTGAGAAATTCGTCTTCTTCTCATGCTCTGGCCCGTCGACTTGAAAACCGGGCTTGTTTGTATAAAAAATCTCGATTTTCTATCGATTTCAATATTGAAGAGTTCAGTTGTTTTCACACTTTTCCACTGGTTTCACTTCCTCAAAATAATTTTGCTTGTTCCGCACAATTGGATTAATTCCCCACAGACCCAAACAGCCCCATCCTTTCATAAAATGTCCCGCAAAGTTTAAAGCTACTGAAATCTTGGATCTGCAGTGTGTAACGACGGTACTCAACTTTTGCTCCTTTAGTTGAAAAACAATCTCTTAAAATTTGCAAATAAATATATAACTCAAGCGATCACAACAGACTAAAGCGTTCAAAGGTACTGCGATCTCCAGTGCATGCAATGCACTTGCATGTTTTCCAATTTAATTCAGTTGAAGGCTTTAAAGAGCACTTTATTCCCAAGAAGGCGGAACAAAGCGAGCAGCTATTAGGAAACATAAAACGCGTGCATCAAAGAGCACAAACAAACTTTGCATAAAGCCGAGAGGCTAATAATTAGGCTTGGAATTCAATCCGGGCAAGAAGAATCCTTTTTAATCAACTATTTCGTATTTTAATGGAAGCTCCACTTGGAAATAAACAAAATATTGTCCAGGATTTTTTTTGAGCGCCAGCCAAGTGAGATTCCAGTGTGCGTCGTATTGACGAATTTGCTTATTAATATGTTTTCGTGTGGAAATCACTTGTCAGGCCTTCATTTTTAATTATTCCGACATGAAATGTGAATAATATTTGTTCCCAAGTATTTTTGGTTTCCCCCAGACTTTGATGGGAAAATCATTAAATAAACCCTTAGAGCAGACATTAATTTGGCCAATATACGGGGCAAAGCCCCAAGCGAACTGAAAGATATTATGACAAAAAATTGCGTGTATGTTCCTTTATACAGAGTCTGCAGTGCCTTCAGAGCGTATTCTTTGACCCGATAAATGCTTCTCATGCCTACAAACCGATTTTCGAACACTATTAATCCATCGACCCACCATGGATTACTGAGAGCATTTTACGCCTTTTGGGCCATATTTTCGGAACATAAACAGAATCGTATGTGCTTATATTTAGACCGTGCTGGCAACAGTCCAAGGCTTCTTCATCATATGTTAACGTGCGCCACATGTATTTTAATTACATGGAATGCCGCACCGATTAGCTTGGACAAAAAAGGAAAAACTCTCACCTTGATGCGGGGCATAGATGTTCAGGTAAAGACAGTCTTCGCTTTCGTGTTTCAAAAAGAGTTTCAGCCTGTTGATGTATTGGCGCCGTTCACTAGAAAGCGTCGACATGTCGGGAAACTTCTGTGGACACACTGGCCCGAAGTTGTCCAGAAATTTCACTCCTTTCCAGGACGGCGCGTTGCTGTTTGGGGGCATAAACCTGCCGAAAAAATCGTCAGGAACACAGAGTTAAAAGCCCCTGGGCTACGCACCGAAATTCTCCTACTGGAGGAGCAGCGTAAGGAATGCCCCGATAAATCTCCACGCGTGGAAGTGAGTAGTTCCTCAATTGCACTATTCGTCCCTGAACCTTTCCTTGCTTCCTCAAAACGACTTCACGCGTTCTCTCCATTTGCAAATCGTACCCCGCGGGGCTGCCCGAAGTTATCGCATACAACGTGATGATGATGGTCATTGATTTTGTTATATAAGCCATTGTTGCTTACAGTTTTAGACCTTTGGAGGCACTTCGAAGCGCATGGCCTCTAAATGTTCAAGAATGCAAACCGGCACATTGTAGCAGGCAAAATAGTGCTTCTAGGGGGTTTTCATGCTTTGAGGTTGCATGGGTTCTGCAGCTAAGAGCGCTGGACAGAAAAGAACGAATTTATAAATTCATCCAAAGTTCATTTTCCACTATGACAAGATCAAGTTTAAGCCGCAAGCTTGTTAAATAAGAACGAAGAGAGACAAGTAATCGAGCTAAAAGTAACGACAGTGAAACAACCGGTGATAATAAAAATGCATATAAACTTCTAGCGAAGCAGACACGCATCAACAAATTTCAAATAATGAAAGGAAAATAAACGTCGCTTGAAATATGTAAAAGGTGCAACAGAAGAGGAAGATGCGAGAACTGGACAATTAAAAAAGAGCCACGAAATTGAAGAGCTAAAGGAAAAAACTAGAAAATTGGCAGTAGTCTAACAGTCCATCGTTCTGTGCTAAATAGCGGCTTTCCTTTAAGTGAACGAATATAATTGAAAAATTGTTACAGGAAATCCGCAGCAAACACACGATTATTTGCGCACCATGTTTGAGAATTAAACTGAACAACAATCGTTAATTTCCCAATTACTGACAGCGCAAACTGGGCTTTTTGCTTCAGATCGTCAGGCTTTGATCAATGCGTAAATATTTGCAGATTTAATGGCACATTTTAGGCGGTTTCCAAATCGATATGGTGCGCCAATAAATCGGGAGATGAAATCAATTTCAGGCCGAATTTGACACGCATTAAGGGAAATCTAGGAAAATCTTGAATTGAACGGTAAAATTGCTTGTGACTAATCAAATAAATTTAGTGATTAAAGTTGTGTTTTTACGAAGCAAATTGATTTATTTTTCAAGCAAAATATTTACGTTTGGCCCGATTTCAAAGCGTTCAACAGCCAAAAAATTTGCTCAACTGTGTTTATGCCATCCGGTGCTTTAAACCTTTGCACCCGCATTATATCTAGCCAAATCCCTTGAGCCTACCAATATTCAACTCAGCTAAATAATTACAAAATCCCTGTTTTCGAAACCATCAATAAACTATAAAATAACGAAACTAAACGAGATTGTTAACGGGCGTTGATAGCGCTGTTTGTGTTAAACCAATATTCCTTTCGACGGTTTCTTTGCGCCAGTTTCCCGAAAACCATTAAAACTTTTTGTTTATTATTTAAAGTCCCGTGGGTAATCGATTCCCACAAAACGCGTGTTGTGTGGACAAACAGCTCTGTTCTTAAGTGGAAATTTGGAAACCCATTTGTAGGTTTTGGACATGCAGTGGTTGGGAGTTTTTCAATGGTTAAACTGCAGTTGTAGAATGGGAATTTGCCCATATTCTTTTGAAAAATTTGCTGTTTTGGTTACTTATTTGGCCTAAGAAGGCCTTGAGAAACACTCGGACTTTTTTTTGTAGTTTTTGGTAGTTTTTGTGGCTGTTTCAAAGTGACATCAAGAAGCAGCCAAGAATTTGGTCATTTTTTGAGGAATTTCTCTTTCGCATGAGTTTCATTTTGTAACTGTTTGATTGCAAGTTTATTAGAGTTGTTTGTTTTGTCCCTTAATGTTGTGTGCAAGCTTGGCCCGAGTCTCTTGTGATTTGCAATTTTCTTACAAATAAGTGCTTTTCGATGGCATTTTCAATTGTTGTGTTTCCTTCTTCGTTTCAATTGCGGCCGGAAACTAGACCGAGAAACGCAAATTCTAGAGGCGATTTTATGTCGATTTGACCTAAAGTGCACCATCCATATTGCGGTTTATCTAGAAAAATCACGCTCAAGTTTTAATGGGATGATTTCAAATTTTCTTTTTTGTGTGTTCTGCCAGAAAGGACGGCTTTGAGCAAAAATTAAAAGTGCTTTTGACTTGTAACTAAACTTGATTCTTCAGGATGAGTTTTGGACGGAAAATGAACAAATTTGGACGAAAATACCAGGAAAATGAGTCAATCTCTCGCTTGTCATGAAGTAGCTGATAAACACTGAGCTCGCTAGTCACTCTTCGTACAAAGGCGAACAAAACCGAATTCCACGTAGCACTAAACCCGTTTCGACATGTTACGCGAAACGGTCACAGATTTCCGCTCGCTAATTATTATTTATATTCGGTCAAATCGGTTTTCATCGACTGGAAAATCTTTCAGCTTTACCGAGGCGCGTTGGTAAACTAAAATTAAAATTGTCAATCTCGTTTTTGAACTAGGCCTGGATAGGCTGCGACTTGATGCACGGCTATTTTCATCCAGTTCTGGATAACCAACTGGCTGAGAGCATGTCGTGGATAGCGGCTGACAGTTTATTTAAAAATACTGTTCGAAAGGGGCTTATAAATATAGCTTGGAGTTAGGGGAACGCTTCAAATGCATCGAATTCCTGCTGGGTGAATGTCTTTGACTGGCAGTCGTTAGACATGGCAATAATCTTGGAAAATTCAAGAGCAATTGCGTCCAAACTGACTTATTGTAGCGGCAACCAAGAACATTAACACTGCAAATAAAATTTATTTCTCCGGATCTTCTGATATAGACGCTGATGAAAACCCCCATCAGTAATACAATGATTGATTTTGAAGCCAACTAATTGAATTTCCGTTCAGTCTTATTAAATATTGACGCAATATTAGGTAGGACTTATTGCATTATGAAGACTTAATATAAAACATAACGTCGTTACGTCTTCGAAGAAATTTCGCCGTTCTCGAAGGCGCCTCAGGCCGCTGCTGCGTCTAATCTAATTTTTAATTTCGTTAACTTTGACCTGCAAATAGCGCATTCGTTTAGCAAAAAAGACAGAGATTTTCTTGGTTCAAATCAACAAAGCTGGATTGGTGAAACACGTTCTGTTTTCTGTGATCGCATTTTCTGCACACGATTTTACATTTGGTTTTAAATTGACAGTGTTTAACGAAGAGTGGGTTTTTCACTTATTTCGCTACTTAATTATTCATTGCTTTATGATAGTTAACGCATGGTTAAGATGCGAATGCAAAAGATGAATAACCTTTTGCAGTTAAGCATCTACCTAAAACCGTATTCCAACAAACCCTTTGGATGCCATTCGAGACAATAAAATTCTTTAGCCGTAATCTCTTTTTGATGCGTGCTCTACATCAAAACTTGAAGACACCCATACAACATAACTCCGAACACAAATAAAACACGAAGCTAAAAGTTGGATTTTTCAAAGTGTGCACAAACACAATATATAACCGGGGACGTACACGCCAGTAAAACCTAATTTAACTTGGAAAGTGAAAATTTTGTGGAGGAAAACTTGCAGACTTTTACATAATCCCGCTTAAAATACAGCTGAACTGGTGCGGAAGGAATTATTTGTCTTGTATTGAATATGGAAACTTACATCGTGTAGTATGTGGTGAACATTTAAGGAGAATCCACTATTTGTGCCAAGGGGAATCGTCTTTAGATCGCGTTTTTAAATCAAATTTTCCTCGTCAAGCTTTGCGCAATGAGAAAATTTAATGTTCTTTCTATAAATATTAAAACATCATATTTTCGGAAAATAACTTTTATATTTTGTCGTCAAATACATTTTTGAAGCTATTCCACTTTCAGTTTTTCATAATCTGTTATTTTCTACGCTGTATTTTCATGATCAAAATTTTATTCTTGTTGTGGCAGTTTATAAGTAAATCGTCCACTGTAATACCTTTTATTTCCCGCACCTGAAACTCCTCCAGCTTTTACTGCATGCACTCTTTGGCTTTAGAAAATTCCTGCCAACGTTTGCTAAGGTTTAGAACCCCAATTCTTTATAATTAGAGCAATCTGAGTTCTGAGTCTTGAGCCTCAAATGAATGAAGTCTTCATTGCAGCTCCATTTAACGGCAAGTTTCGAAACTCGAAAATATATGAAGAGAAAATCAAACTTTCTGTATCATCAGCGGCCAAAACTTACATATTTCGATAATACTTTCAATTTTTAATTCCTTTAAACGAATGTTCCAATCCTCAAAAGTTTTTGTTGCTAAAATGTATTTATCTATTAAAAGCATGAGATTTGTAAACGTTTTATGTGTTAATAGGGTCAAATAATTTATCTTTTGAATGAAATTCTGATAAAGCAATTAAAGTGCAATTAAAGTTGTTCTCAAAATAACCGCTGCCATTTTCGACTTTTCGCAGGAACAATTTGAGCCACTGAGTTCGTTTTTACATCGTTGGAAAGATAAATTAAAACTCGCTTCAGCTGAAACAACGCGCGTTCAAAACTGATCTCTTTCTTTTCAAAAATTCACATCTAAAGTGACCAGCATTCCGAACTAAAGCAACCAGCAATTAGAACTATTCACCATGTTTTCAGTGCATTTGAATCTATCTATGAACGTCGAACGTTTTATAAAAATTGTCGGAAATCCTGATTTTTGTCGGCTTGATAAATTTACTCAAATTTATTAAAAACTGCGCCTTTTTCTTTAAAAATTTACATCTCTCAAACTTAGGCAAGAAGCATTCTGAAATGTTTGCCGTTTTTCAACATGCTTTATTCTATGGAAAAGCTTCATAAAAATTCCGAGAAATCCTGATATTTGTTGGTTTGATTACTGAACGAGTCGCAAAATTAGTAAAAAGGGCGCATTTTTGTTCAAAAATGTGCAGCTTCCAAACTAAAGCAAGCAGAACATTGATATTCTCAACATGTTGACTTGTAGATGCTGAAAGTTGCCAGAATTCTGATTTTTTCGGCTCAATAAATATTCGCGATTCTCAAAATTAGTGAAAACTGCACTCTTTTGTTAAAAAATTCACATCTTCCAAAGAAAGGCAAGCAGCAATTGAACATTTTTACCATCTTTTGAGTGCACCTAACTATAGATGCTGAACGTTTTGTGAAAATTTCCAAAAAATCTTGATTTATTCTGGCTTCAATGGTTCAAATTTAGTAAAAACTGCGTCTTTTCCTTTAAAAATTCATATCGTTAAAAGTTATCAAGAAGCATTTTGAAACTTTTGACATTTTTAGATGGCGCTTTACCTTATAAATGGTGAAAGATTTATAAGAAGTGCCGCAAATAATGATTTTTGTCGGCTTTAAAAATATACGCGAGTCTCAAAATTGGTGAAAAGTGCGCGCTTTTTCGATCAAAAATTCACATCTTCCAAATTTAGGCAAGCAACATTTTGAAATTTTCGCCGTTTTTTGAATACAGGTGCTGAAAGTATCATAAAAAAGTCCGAAATTCTTGATTTTTCTATGTTTGATAAATGTACGTGAGTCCCAAAAATTTGTGAAAAGTGCGCTCTTTTGCTTACGTAGCGCACGGGGAGTTTGGCTATCTGAACAGCGATTTTCGAGATAAATAGACGAACATTTGAGGTAGGCAACATCGGCCTGCTCGATCGCCGGATTTAGATCTCCTAGATTTTTGCATTTGGGATTTTCTTTAATCATTAGTTTATTCCACTTGAACAACTGAAACAACTGAAAAAAGTCGTGAATTTCAATGAGTCTAAGGTGGTAAAAACCGGCTTCTCAACAAAAAACGCCACAAGGAAAACTCATGAGTAAAGCGATGATACTGTTTTTTTTTAAGGAGAGACGATGCAACAAAGACACACCGCAGCTTTGGATTTTCCCCGAATTCCAGCAGAAAAGTCGTTAGAAGAGCATTGATTAGTGTTTGCGACAATTGGGGAGTCCGTGGCTGATTATTTCCTTTGAAATGTTGCTCAATTAGGAGCGGGGTAACAAAACCCTTACTCGAACAGATAAAGTGGCAGGTCTTCATTTTGGGTGCATCGCTCGTTTATGGTTAATGAGAGGGACCTGCGGGCTCGAAACCGAAAGCGGCCACGAAACAATTGGACGAATCTAAAATTCCATAAATTAACTAGGGCCGAATGAAATTACCCACAATTTCTTGGCACGTTAACAAATCGAACCCGGTCTGGAGCGATCTTGCACAAGCGCCCATACAGATGGCGCTGCCTGCGCAAGAGGATATCCTGGTTTTCCCGAATCCAGTCGTCCTGCAGGATCCGCAAGGACAACGTCCTCGTGCGGCGGTTTTGTTGTTTATCTTGCCCGGAGCTCGCGATTCGACGGCAACGTTTCATGTGGCTCAACCCGATCGGGATCTTCAGTAGTGCGAAAATGCCGTTGCAAACCTAACCAACTGCTATGGGTTGTCGTGGTTTTCTGTGTGCAGTGCATTTGATTTTGGTTCTGGATTATTCCCTGTGCGATCCTCTGCCGGAACCCCAACGATCCTCCCTCACCTCGCGCACTGTTAAAACCAAATACGGCGACGTCAGTGGAGTCATTGTTACTCCCGAGTCCAAACATTTGGAGTCTGTGGAAGTTTTCCGCGGGATTCCCTACGCCAGTCCTCCATTGGGCTCGTTGAGGTTTATGCCCCCCGTTACGGGCGCTCTATGGCAGGGGGTCAAAACCGCCATAAGTTTCAGCCCGGTTTGCCCCCAAAGACTTCCGGATATTTCCAATGAGACGGCCGCCCTTCGACGGATGCCGAAAGGTCGGTTGGAGTATTTGAAACGACTCCTACCTCATCTGCGGAATCAGAGCGAGGATTGTCTCTATCTTAACATCTATGCTCCTGCACAAGGTTTGTTGCTTATCTTTTCCTATACTCTACAGCTCTGGCTAGATAATTTTGGGCAAAAACAGAGGTCTACAACACAAGTGAGCTGAAACAGCGACAGCAATGTTGAAACTGGGGCTTTTGGGTGCAATAAAGCAGCCTGCTTCAAGCAACTGAAGCACTCTGCGTCAATCAGGCAATTAAATTTGTCATGCAGCTCTTAGCCTATTAAAGCATAGCGCCACCCTTTCCCCATTATGCTCAGGTGCATTTGGGCCAAGCATATTCAATGCTGTCGATTAAATGCCATTATTGTTCATAGTCAATGAGGATGTGCATTTACTGGCCTGGTCGGGCCTAGAGATTTCACTCGAAGAGTCAATCACGTTAATTGGAGTCGCTAATCTTAAGCCCTAGACTTTATATAGACAGTTTTGGGATTCCATCCACTGAAGAGCTTCTGGGGTGGCGTTTAGAAGAAGATATAAAAGTAAAACTGACCAACAGTAATGATTGAAGCATTTTAAGAAGGGAATTGGGAAAGGAGTAACGCAAAAATTCCATCTAATAACTGGCTGAACATTTGCAGGACTATTTTGCAAATATCGGACACAAACGATTTAATTACCTGGTGCCAAGTGGCAAGAGCTCGTGTTTTCCCTGCACTGAATAATTTTTGGAATAATTAGTTACAATTTATAACATTTTCTGCATTCTTTACAAGGCTTTTGATTCACATGTTCATCTAAAATAGCAAAAAATATACATTTGCGGCAGTCAAAAGCACTGAAGATACTTAAGGTTTTTCGCCAAAAGCTTCTTGAGCAGCAAAGATAAAGAAATGGTGAAAAACTTGCCATCTTTTGTTTCACACTGTTAATTCACTAACTTATAGTTTAGAAATTTGTCAGCACTGAACAATACTTCGCTTAGTCGGTGCCTCACAGGGGTCTACTAATGTAATTTACAAAATAGACTGTTTGAATTGTAATAACACATACATAGGTCAAACAGGACAATATCTAAAGAAAAGAATATACGAACATAAGTATAGCCTAAGAAAAAATAACGAAAATGGTACAGCATTAGCACAGCATGCACCACAGAAGTTGCATAGTTTTGATTTTGATAACACAAAAATACTGATTAACGAGAGTAATTATAATAAGAGAAGAGTCCATGAAATGATACAGATTAAAAAACATGTGTGTGGAAAAATACACCGAAACGTATTTTAATTGATAAATAGAGACAATAAATGACTGAAACCCAGAAATTAATTTTGATTTGGAATTACAGTTAACAACTGAAGCTAAATTTATGCCAAGGCAAAGCAATTATTACCTCGAAAACCATATACCGCAGGTGCGAAGAAACAAAAAACCCCCAATATTCTCCATGGAGAAGTTTAGCTGAAATGTACCTTACGCTTGCGTTTTTGGTTGCGAAAACTGCATTTTCCCATATGAAGACACAGTCGGGATAAGTAGATAAAGTTGCGTTTGTCTGCACAAAAAGCAAAATAAACGCCACCAAACTACGCCGTTAACTATCTGAAACCATCGCGACATCGCGGCAAACATGCTCAGAAAATTGGAGCTTAATCGTCTAACAGTTTTGGAGTGCAGGTTAAACTTCAGGGAAAAGATCATTAATTTTTATTCGGTAGATAAAATGAGCAAAGTTTGAGTTGAGAAGTTGATGATTTTGGCTAAGCCGACAGCTTAAGAACAGCTTCTCCACATTGACTTCCAAGGTAAAGGGGCGACAAAAGAGTGGATTAGAAGACTTTCTGGCAATTTATTTTATGAACGTGCCACACAAAATCCCGATTATTCGCATACCAAACACGCTCTAAATGACTGGCAAACACTTGCCGTGCTGGCAGGATTCGTAAAATCAAAATTGATCGGCCGACACCCTAAACATGACAAGGATTTGTAAGATGTAAGTTTTTAAGCGAAAGAACAGACGACGTTTTCAGGCAAAGATATCCAGAAAACTTGGCCGGCCCTCAATAAGTTGAAAACTTCGTTTAATCACAGACTTCTTAAAGAGTTTAACTAAAAACCAATTTTTATTCCCCGAGTGTGCGACGAATTCCTAATAGTTTCTGAGGCAACTTTAGTATTGGTTTTTTAAAAGCAGTCGCCGACTGGAGCACTTTCAGTTGTAATTAAAACTTTTTTAACTAAGCAAAAACTCGCGCTTGAACTTCTTAACGTGGCTGCGCTCGAATTGAGAACGGCGTCCGAGCTAAATTACTATTCAAATACAAATTGCACACAAAAAAATACATTTTTAAATTTCGTCAAGAAAAACTGTTGACTTCGAGCACATATTCATAGGATGATATCGTTTATTTAAACTGCTGAAGGAAAGTTCACGGTTCTTTGAACGGCAGTTTTCCACCTGGCTGTGAGAATAATCCAAACAGAGAATCGCAAAGTTGCAGTTTCCACCCGGCTGAGCTCCAAACAGTTTAAAAATCCTGCCATCCAAACATCTGAAGATATGAGCCGCTGCAGGAGCTGAAAGTCAGTCAAAAGCACTACCATTAATCGTCAAAGTCTTAAACAGAAAAAGGAGCCAATAGCAATAGAGACATCACATCAACATTTCGATGCCAAGTTTAGCAAAAGAAACAAAATAAGCCAATAAAAGGATCGTGATCTTTCGGTTTAAAGGCCGTTAAGGAGGAATTTATGTGTTTTTTATTGGTTCCACATGGAGAAGCCTCGAGAGTTTTTCATTTGAATAAAGGGGTCGGAGGAAATTACGAAAATAATGAACCCGGGAACATCAAGAACATGGCAAAAGGAAAACACTCGCGAATTGATTGAGAAAATAAAGCGAGTTTGTTTTGGGCTGATTGATTTGTTTTTCTAATTGGAGATCAATGCCGGGAGGAATGGGGGCAAACCATAACAGTTTCTGAGCGAGTGTGTTTGGACAAGCCAAACCGAGGGTTTTCTCAGGGATTTTCCTTTGTGAGGACTTTGGAAACTCGCACAATTTTCCGCTTGTGCCATTATGAAGATTAACCGAGTTATTATAAGGCATGGTGCATTTTTATCAATTTGGTTAATTTCGAAATGTCGTGTTTCAACACCGCTGAAAGCGATAGAGCTGAAAGCCATTCGTCAATGTCGTTGCGATATCTTTGTTCGTTATTTCTACGAATTGAACCGACAGGAAAAGTTCTAGATGTAGTGGTTTTATTACGTATTTTCCTTATTATAAGAAGAATAGAGTAAAATGGGCATTTAGGTGTTTCGTGGCTATTAGCTTGCTCTCAAACCGGCTTTTTTTGTTCAACCTTAAAGGATGTTTTAATTGTAATTTACCAAATTGAAGTCAGAGCAACTTAAAGCCAGGAAAGTCATTTTATTCTTGCTTGGAAGCTTCGACTTCGAAGTTAAACCAGTTGAGCAAAAATTAACTGCGAAACATTTTGCATTAAATGGAGACTTTCCTACGTTTGCAGCCGCTTGTTTATATGCTCACCTCAGCGGTTTTCTTGTAGTTTTAGTGCAAAAAATGTTCGATAAGTTTTCATAACCTTGAGCTGTATGAGACGCCCCGTCCTTTGCAAATTTTGTTGGCAAAACAGTTGAGATTTAGAAATTTTACTTCACTCAGTTATAATCTAATATTATTAGTGCTTAACAACATTTGTTGATTTGCGTGTTGATGTCGAAATGCCTTAAAACGCTAATTTATTTCTTTCACTGTTAGTCCATCAGTCTTGGCAACTGTTGGGTTTTTCACCTGAGGGAAACGCCATCCGTCATTTCCCTAATTGCATCTTTATTCATATTTTATGAAAATGTGTCTGCAATAATAGCCTTTTAATTTATTCGGAAGTGTTCGCTTTCATAACCTGCCATGTCATCTACGTATGCAAATTGGGGGGAAAATACGCGAGTAATAATTAGAACTGATTAAAATGTGGGGGGATTTTAATAGTCTGGAAGTCTGGAGGACGTGGTTGTATTTGCAATGTGTTTAACATTTTTCGCGTGAGCGGAAACATAATTTATTTACCTATTTATTCATACCAAAGCACTGAGCTAGGAAGCAAAGCGATTCCCAAAGCAGATTTTATTTGTAATAGAAACAGTTGCTTAAAATTGGTGAGTTTCTCTGGCTTTCACGCCGTCGTGGATAATTTCTCGCTGACGTTTCACACGCATGACTGGCTTGCATCTTCAGGAGTATGCTCGCACCCAAAGTGAACCCGAAATGTGCTTCACGCTCTATTTAGAGCAAAATTTAGAGATTTTGCGACACTTCGTTCAGCTGGTAACACTGTGGTGTGAATTTCGCTCTTGAGTTTACTCTTTTGCCTTTTCTGTAGGAATGATTGCTTGGGAATATTCAAGAAACTGAAGAAATCTTCCGAGCGATGAGGGCGACGAGTTTTCCAAATAGTGTATTTGTAAGCTTTTCCTTTCTCTTGTCGTTTGTTCAATTCATTGTAAAATTCTGTAAAAACTATAAAAAACTCGAAAGACCTAAAGTAAGTTTACAAATCTTCAGAGCGATGAAGGTAGCGAATTTTCCAAAATCTTTTCTGCAAACATTTGCCCTCTGATCGTCTTTTAAAGATAACCTTAAATACTTTCGGTACTAAATACTAAAAACTAAATATGCTTATTTGCTTTTAGTGCCAAATTCGAAGCTGAAAAGGGTTTTTAAAAATTCCCTGCAAAGCGATGGATGAATTTTGTCATTTTTGGCTGGCTCCATGATTGTCAGGATAACAGGAATGCATTAGAAAATAACGGGTTTTTTGCGCCTTCGATTAAAAACTTTTAGTTCTGTAATCGGTTTCTTGGAAAACCTCCTAGCTAGACTCGACAATCTTGAAAGCTTTTATCTCCACAGCCTCACGAACTCCTGAAGATACTTTTAATTCAGTCAGAGCCCCTTTAGGGCCTCCTGAATTTTATTAACGGCTGCGAATATGAAACGTCTGTTTTTCCAATTTTCCCGGGGATTCAATTTTTTCCTTAACGTTT